AAAAGTTAAAAGCTTTAGCACGGATTAATGAAAAATTTCTTTGCAATTATTTTGTAACGAAGAATTGAGATTGAGCTGACTTCCGCTTGCCCCATCTTTCCAAGGATGAATTCTTTGATTTGCAAATTATTCTAAGGTAAGAGTAAAATAAAAGGTTAAATGAGACCACCAAAAATTATATCATTTCACTTACATAATCACGCAATTTATATTTATCTCTTTCAGTAACCGACAAAGCCTTTAAATCCCCTTTTCAGCACAGATATAAAAGAACTGTTCTCCTTATAGAGGACTGTTAGGCGACTAAGAAACAGTTTTACATATATATATATATATATATATATATATATATTATTTATTTATTTATTTATTTATTCATTTATTTGTTTATTTATTTATTTATTTGTAAAAAAACTCACCTCCAAATTTTCACCATGCTGTATCGTGTTGTCAATGAGCGATAGAAGATCACTGATCGATTCATCATCTTCAACATTCAATGGAACAAAGCGTACCTGAAAAAAAAGAAACTCTGTGAAAACGTTTTCAGAATAAACCTGAGAGATTACAAAATAATCTGGGAGATCTCTTCAAAACAAAATTGGTAGAAAAGCCGAAAGACATATGTGCTAGAAAACTAGTGGTGTAAAAGTTTGAAGAAATATCTGGAATCATAATAGCAAGAGAAGACTTTGCACTAATATCGCAAAATTTTATCAATTCCCCCTAAAGAAATGATCTGTATAAGGTGTTCATACATGTAAAAATACATACAAGACTATAATCATCCAAAACTTCGGCGATTGTTCGTGAAAGTTGGCGATACTTCTCATTCCAGGGTGAGATTTCTTCACTGCCCAGAATAGAACACATGTCTGTCTCCAGAAAAGTTTCCAGCAGTTCTTTATTACGATTTGATAACAAATCCACTTTCGACAACACATTCACTGCCGGAACCTTTAAGTAGAATGGCCTTCATAACATAACCAACTAAATACTGAAATTTAGAAAATACTTCGCGATTCTCCATTTTAGCAATATTCATCATTAATACATACAAACTCAACTGCAATAAGACCTCACCTCCATTGCAACCATAGCCGAGAGAGTCGTTAATGCACCACCTAAGAATTTGTCATAATCCAAAACAAACTGTGTGTCAAGCAGGAACACAGAACAAATGTTAAAGTCCCATGACTTCAATGCATTAACAATTTGTCTCATTACCGGCAAGTGACTATAAAGTTCAATCTGGCCTGGAAGAAATTAGATGAGATTGTATTCTAAATAAACAGAATTAATAGTAAAATGGACTGATTTAACCTGCATAGTTATCAGTACTAACTGTTAATGATGATTTTATTAAATATCTCGTCTGTTAAGGAAAGATTTTCTATGCAGTTCCGGAAAGTATATTAGTATGTGCTGAAATATCAACGGCCTTACACCTTAAACTGTATTCTTGATGAAATAGTAATCGCATTAAGTAATCGCATAGTAAAACAAAAGAAATAATGGAGTGACATAAGAACCTGGACAATCAAAGATGAAATAATCGTCTTCTCCTTCATTCAGCTGGTCATGAAGCCAATCTAAATTTTGCGCGAGATATTCCATGCAAAACACCAAGGCGCCATTTGGACCAAATACTAACTGCTTATCTTCTTGTACATCATCCACGTTGATTAGCTCTCGCACATCTAACATATGAAATTAACCTCGCACATCTAACATATGGAAATGCAAACCAATAAAGTTGATCAGTGAATGCATACGATTGAAATAAAATATATTTCTCTTGTTTCATAATAAGTTACTGATCAAAACTGATAAAAAGATGGAATTCAAAAAATCAATAAGTAATAGTGATCAATCTCAGAAATTTAATAATTAACTGACTTCAAAAACTTAAGAAAAAAGCGATAAATTTCGTAAGCAAGATACACGAACCAACGGCAGCACTATAGGTGAATTTTTCGGCCGCAGGATCCAAATTAACCAAGAAAACGTTACGGCCTACGGATAAGTAATGTTGCTGCACCACAGAGCAGTATGTTGACTAAAAACATTTCATATATTAAACATAGAATTGTAAGTGATTATTACATTCATGCAGTAGCGAAATCTTTTTTCAAACATAATAATGTTAGATTTCTATACAATATTTCTTAAATATTTAAAACTTTTAAAAATTAAAAAGCTTATTGATTAAACAGCATTACTTTAACTAAAAACAAACCTTGCCACTTCCCGCTGGACCAACAACCAATTGTGCATATTTCATCGCGATTAATCAGTATTCATTGTCGGTTTTTAGATTTCCTAATACACTGAAGTTTCATGTAGCTTAGATGAAAAAAATTTTTATGCCATATTAAAACTTTGGAAAGATCCGCTGTACCGAAAAAACAGTGACGCTTAATAAAAATCTACAACCGAATTTGCAATCAATTTATTGACTTCCAAACAAATTATGAACATAATTATCGATACGATTATCTGCATTACTACAAAATGATCGAAAGTCCGACAGCATATAGTCTTGGAAGTCTTCCGAGCAATTCCTGAAACAAGAATAAATGAGTCCCACATAAAAAGATTGCTTTATATTAGTTCCACTTTTTGCTCTTTTGCTCTATCCAACTCTAAGCATTAGATAAATCAAAGCACAGATTACTGAATTGAGATGTTTCATGAAGAAATCTCGGATTAAATCATCAAATGGAAGTCCCTTAACTACAAAAAATGAGTTTTTCTCGAATTTTCGAGAGAAAAGAAAAATGGAGAGAAGAATTACAGAGTAGCACGATATCGATGGCTGAGCATATGATTCCAAGACCAAACAAATGCTTGACGTACTTCATCATACATCAAAAACATACCACCTGTAAGGTGAACGTATTGTGGCACTTGGTGTGCAGAGCAACCCATTTCAATGAATCCAAAGGCTTTCATTATAGCAATAATAAGTCGACAAATCTAAATGAATTAGCTATGACTAACAAGATCATTTTCATAAGATTGGAAATCTGTGTAATGTGCACTAACTAATCCAATATTGGATAAAAACATGATTACAGGTTTTCATAAAAACAGCTATAATAATATGAACGGAGAAACATTTTACCGTTTAGTTCCCGAATTATTAACAAGCAAATACTTTATAGGAATTTGGAGATTAGTGAATATTTCCTCATAACACCACGCAATATTCGACAAAACAAAATAAAGTTTTGCAAAGTGTTAAATCAGAAGAAAGGAACAAGACAAGGAAATTATAGCTAAAGTTTCACGATTTGGAAAATTCTCTTAATTTATAAGTGAATTCAAAAGCATAAAGTCTCACACAATCCGACTGAACTTTGTCTGGTTTGAAAGGTATGACTACAGGACACTGAAGTGGTGGTGAAATAGGATTCAGAGCGTGTGGAAAGGGATCCTCGGGTACTGGAAACATATGGAACGAAAGATTAGCCGCTTTGCTGCACCAATGACGCACGGTTTCCGCCACCGTCTGACTATTTGCCATAAACCATCGCACTCCAATTTCGAAAGATTTTGTAGCACAAAAAGTTTTTTCATAAGAAACCTAAAATAAAGAAAAATCTGATGTAATCTTAAACCTTCAAATATAACTGTTAGAATCAGATTTCTACAGTAAAATCCATAATCCATTACATACTCAAAAAAACTACGAACGAGAGACGAAACTCTTCCATCGAGTCATACTATTGCAGCACGACGGAAAATTTCCTTGAAACCTTCGAAAGGATACATGCCAGGACCACTCAGTGAATGATCGACAGTGAAATCTAAGGAAATGTTTAACCATAGATTTTTGTTTTCAGACCATATATGGTCCCAACCGTAGGCAATCATACTAAAGTCGGAAGAGTTACTCGGAAGAGTTACCACCTGTAAGGTGAACGTATTGGGCACTTGGTGTGCAGAGCAACCCATTTCAATGAATCCAAAGGCTTTCATTATAGCAATAATAAGTCGACAAATCTAAATGAATTAGCTATGACTAACAAGATCATTTTCATAAGATTGGAAATCTGTGTAGTGTGCACCACCTAATCCAATATTGGATAAAAACATGATTACAGGTTTTCATAAAAACAGCTATAATAATATGAACGGAGAAACATTTTACCGTTTAGTTCCCGAATTATTAACAAGCAAATACTTTATAGGAATTTGGAGATTAGTGAATATTTCCTCATAACACCACGCAATATTCGACAAGACAAAGTAAAGTTTTGCAAAGTCTTAAATCAGAAGAAAGGAACAAGACAAGGAAATTATAGCTAAAGTTTCACGATTTGGAAAATTCTCTTAATTTATAAGTGAATTCAAAAGCATAAAGTCTCACACAATTCGACTGAACTCTATCTGGTTTGAAAGATATGACTACAGGACACTGAAATACGGTGAAAAACGAAATTTGGGAAAATGCTTACTCTGCCTCTCTCCATAAAATGTGATACATTTTTTGGGAGATACTCATGCCCTCCAGAATCTGCTGTTTTTTGTAACTGCGCATAAAACTTCATCTCTACGGAATTCAGCCTGTATGTACAGTCGACCGATCCCGAACACCTGGAATAGATGTTTTTTAGAGCTTTAATCTCTTCCAGTCAACAGCATACTAGCCAACTTACTTTTCCCCAATTTCACACTGAATAACTCGTGACCAAGGTTCTTTTTCTTCTATTTTGTCATCTGAAACATATTTGTTCGTAAAGTAACACAAGAAGAAACCACAACGAAACTCGTGCCAGTGACTTTCAGTGGATATCGAAGATTCCAGATCATCGACCAATGTTTCAGCTGAAAAAGGAGAGATGAAAACTAATACAAATAGAACCGTGCTTTATATCCAAATCATTACCGCAGGAACTCTCTCAACAAAATGTGCAGAATAAACTTCCTACCTCGCAATATTCTGTGTAACCCATCTTTCTTTACTTCCAGATAATTTGTAATTTTGCTAGTGATGAAAAAGACAAAATAACTAAGCATATGCATAAGCAAAACTGCGACGCATTTTAGCTTAGGAAGTTATATTAGGATATTTTTTTCAAATAAAAATCAAATACAAACTCGGTTGTAGCATCTGTATTTTTCCAGCTGAAATCAAACTCCCAGCAAATTCAATAGCAGCTTGTCGATTTGATAGTTCGGAGACATTGGCCATCAGCCAAGCAATAAATTCTGTTGTCAGAAACATGCACGAAGGGAATCGACTGGTGGGATCCTGCGAATAAAGTGGCAAATAGCTTTCACGCCAACCATTCAACAAAACATCAACATTCTCAATGCTATATATTCGACTTTCCACATCACTCCTCGACGTCATTAACCTAGAAGATATGTCATAATAACAAAATGTTATGCTCTGGTCTAAACTTGAGTGTACATTGTTATCGAAAGATTTACATTTCCATACTTGACAGTTTTTTTGTTTACACTGCAGCACAATACCAAACGCATAAATTTAGTCAAATAATTAGTATCAAATAATTAAACATGCTAATAGCTTATAAGACTTCAAACTTAATAAGTCCCTTTAACAGAAGAAAGTAATAATTGTTAATACCTTTTGTGTCTCGGGGAAGTTTTCCTTCTGAATCGATTTAACACTTCAACAAACTTCAAAAACCCTTCTTCCTGTCTTCTAGAGAATGAAGAATCAAAAACAGCCATATACTTGTCACCACCATTACGTTCAGTCATAATTGTCTTTGTTATGGAAGCACAAAGCGGTGTTAATAAAAACCTAAACACCATAATACTGTTACATTATTTATTTTCAGGAAAATTCGTTCTTACAGAAAAAGACACCATCTGTATTAGTCTTTTTTAAGCTCATTGTTATAGAATACAGGTATAAAGCATAAAATAGCATTATATATCTCAACAACAAAAATCCTGAGCATAAATACAGAGAATAAAATAACCTCGATGCAAAACATCTCATATCGTCCCGGAATAACCGTGGAACACAACGATTTTGCAGTTCTGTATCGAGAAGGTTCCAATTTAGATTTGATAGATCATATTTTTGAAATCTAGAAAAAAGAAATGATAACGCATCGAATCACTTAAAGAATACTTCCAATTTTAGTACACCGACCTACAGCAAAAAAACCTATTTTGGAAACCAGTTTAACATTTTGTAATACCATGCGCCCTCTTCCTTTAGCAATTTAATAGTAATTTATGGAATATATAGACTTCTTAACTGACCTTCAAGTAGTTCCAAAACATTATTGCAAAACGAAAATATTTAATAAACCATATTTTCCATCTTTATGAACTACTGTTACCCTCGACTTACTTTAAGGTAGAAATTAAGAGAAAGTAAAGAGTATTCGAATGAAAGAAATACCTTGCACTACATAGAGTATATTCAAAATTATCCGGTATTTGAAACAGATATGTATATTCTCTTCGTTTCGCTATTTCAGGTGTTTCGTGAGATTCCTCAAGTCTTGGTGAAAATTCAGTAACAGTTATTCCATCATCTCCCATATACAAACGGTGGTAAATTCGATTGAATGATAAGAAGCATTCTCGAGAAACCATCTTCTCATCTTTCATTCTTTCCAGGTGCACTTCCTAAATAATCTACAGTATCAAACAGCGGAGGAAGAAAGATATTCCGATGAAATATGCTTTTCAATTTCAAAATTCAGAAATTTTTTCCTTCAACTGGCAAGTAATTGTTGGTTAAATTACAATAAATTCAATATTACACTACCATATACATTTGTAAAGTTTGTATCCTACCAATAACTCATAGCCAGTTTCGCTACGACAACTTACACTAACGGTAATAGCTGCATATATCAGCTTTTTATCCAGAAGAACTATTTGAAAACCACGTTGCAACCGCTGATAAACAAGCTGATCAAAGACAAGATTTCGAAGTCGTTCTAAATCATCACACTCCGAATCTTCCAGCCATTCACGCACCAAATCGAAATACACCGGTAGTTGATGGGACTGAACAAATAAATGAATATTTCACTTCAGTGAGAATGGACGCAAATTGTTACATTAACAGCTTACGAATATCTTGAAGGTATGCCAAAAAATCACAATTCTTAATCAGTTACGCTTGGTACACCCCCTAAACGATTTCGATTCTAAGACGTTTATAATTTTGAACGTTCATTAGAGTATGCGACAATCAGGAAGTAACAAAAGCAAGCAAACAAATAAATTACTTTAATTATATAGTCTGCACTCATACTGCGTCTATCCGGAAAGAAGTCGGTAGTTAATGGAAGAAGAGCTGTACGTATAAGCGATTTCCAGTCAACACCAATTTCCATATCTGGATTCCACTTCTCTTCACCAGTTGAACCCCAAGCCCAAACGCATCTCTTTCCTCCTGCTCCCAATCCTGTAACCCTGCAAAAGATAAAAATCTTGCTTATGATCATCCATATAATCAAATTAATATAGCTTGTACTTCTTCCTTAATTATTTCTCTGTCGAATGTCCAGCTCATGTTCTTGGTAAAAAAGAAAAAACGATTTGAAAAATTAGCAGTAGTGATGGATTTAGCAGGATGTATAGGAAAAGGTTTGTAATATTAAATGCAGCTGATAGTGTAACAGCTCCAAACATCCCCATAATTCAGTGGTTTTATTTCAAAGAAATTAATAGAAACGAAGTCGCGAAATTTACGAAACAAACCTGCTACTACCATCCTCAAAAAGTTGAACAGAAGATGATGTACATGATGGAGAACCGTTAACACTAATTGTTGTTTCATTCGGTTCTGGCTCATCACCCTGTATAATATTAATGACACTTTTACCAGCCACATAATGATGCGCTACTTTCGAACGACCAAGCTTATCTACTGGAAACACATGAATCCAACGACGTCGATTAGCAGTGATTGGTACTGAAAGCTGCATGTAAATATGTGAATAGAAGAACTGAACATATACTACTAATTTTGTAGTTCTAAAATATGTCTGATAGCACTATACAATACGACAGTATGCCGCTTCCCGGTCACAAACAGCAAAGAAGCTAGAAATAAGCTAATGTCAACTTTTAAATAAAACTACGATGTAAACAACTGAATCTATATATTGAGTAAATTTCGACTCTTTTAGGGAAATTCCTCAAGTAATGAAGAATTAGCTACATGTAAAATACTTCAATATTCTACACATTCGAAACTGCGAAGGAGATAATAGTAATCTGTGCTAATATAATAGAATTTTCCCTCTCTGCGCCTAGTATCAGATATATTCATCTGTGAATGAGTGCAACATATTTGGTACTATTTCATAATTTAAAAGAAATGAGACAATTTTAAATTCTTAGCATCAATGTGATAAATTTCCTTCTCCTTTTTCAATAGCAACAACAATTATCAGTTAAAATTACTGCCCTTATTGAAAATAAGCACAAAAAAAAAGCGATACTAGAAATCTCACACTATGCAACAGCTAATGTACTGAGCTGTTGAAACAAGAGACCACAAAATCTTGTTGAAATAAGAGACCACAAAATCTTGCAATCCATGATAAAGCTAATAAAATAAATACGCACCACCAAATTCTTCGGGTTTAAACGGGTTAATTAACGGTCGTCTCTCAATCATACTCAATACGCCTTGTGATTTTTTGCTTTCAAGCGGATCACCTAGTAAACCAGGTTCAAGAAAGCTGCTTGCAACATATTTATCGAAATTGCTTCGCCATGGATTTCCGGTTATATGGTGTGGTTCCTGTAAATCTCTTTATTACTAGTTCATATTTTAATTTCTTTGCAGTAAGCTATAATAAAGGAAAATCAGAAAATTATAAATAATAATAAGCAAATTTCTTAAAGGAAATCAGAAATCTTTAATATATACAATTTCCGTTCTAAAATCCAACAAAAACAATATCTAACATCATTATTACGATAACTTCCCTCAACAAACGAAGAGAAAAACAAGTGTGTCAATCTTGCAATGTTCTATTGTCTGCACCGCACTCTTATTCATTTCAAATTCATTTAAGGATGAAATTGCAAGAAAAGAGATGCTTTTTTCTTCGCATTTTTCTATTTTTCCTTCAATAATTTCCTTTTCTTTTATTTGTAGGAATTTGGGTAGAATGAAAACGAAATGAAAACTGAAGGAAAAATGACTGCAAATACGAACAAATATGGTATCTCCATGATTTAGGTTTTTTTCCAATAGAAATTCTTTTGCGAACTCCGATGCTAAATTTGCGTTACTTCTCGTGGAACTGTTTTCAAGGAGTGATGAAAACGCCTTCTCATCGGCAGCATCGATGTTACTAATAGGTGAACCATTCGTTTCCATAACTAGACCTCTATGAGCATCCTGTAAAAAGAACGTAAAATTCGTTAAGTCTAAATTCGTTAAGTCTAAATGGCATTTATTCGCAATCTACTGCAAAACAAAAAAACATAACCAACCCGAAGTAACTCATCTGGAAGATTAATTCTTGGTTTGAATTTGATTGATATTGCAGAGCGTCGACTCATTTGATAATATGAATAATTCATCCAATGCGGTATCAAATAATCTTCCGAGGGATAAACACCGTTTCTTCTTAAAGCATTGGTGAGAGGCAATCACTGAGTTTAGAAATATTTTCAAAAAAGATACAAAAACAAATAGAATCTAAAATGAAATTCAACACATGACTTATTCAATATTAGTCTATTATCAGTATTATCAAGTCGAACGGAAAATTATGACACGAGGAAGCAAGAGCAATGAAAATTTAAAAATGGAAAGGCAACAGTTGAAGAATATCATTCCAAAAATGGACAACCTTTGAAAAACAAAAAGAGGAACAGCGTGAAGTGGTTGTTCGCCAAGGCACACAAGATCCAGAGATATACCCATATCGATGAGACGTTGCTTAGTTATAGTCACCAAATCACGATCAACATTGAAAACTCCTCCACCTGCGCTGACAAAAATGATCTGAAATTCTATTGATTGCTTAGAAAGTTCAGAACTACAAAAGTCAAAATGATGTTAAGTAACCGCAAAACTTTATGTGGATGATATTCGGAAGATTTAATACGAGAACCGTTTTCTTACCGGCATCTCTTCTAAATCACATCTTATATTAAAATAAAAGAAAACTTATCTGCTGCCAAAAAGTAAATAAATAAATACATATAAGCCGAAAAAGTAAATACATATATATATATATATATATATATATATATATATATATATATAA